CAATTTCCTGTATCTTTCACTATCTCCCTCGCATTTTGCTTGCCTTCTCTCCCCCGCTATTTGTAAGGCCTCATTGGACAGCCACTTTGCTTTCTTGCATTTCCTTTTCATTGGGATGATTTTCGTTGCTGCCTCCTGTACAATGCTACGAGGCTCCATCCATAGTTCTTCAGGCATTCTGTCCACCAAATCTAAATCCTTAAACCTGTTCCTCACTTCCACTGTGTATTCATAAGGGATTTGACTTAGATTGTATCTTACCAGCCCAGTGGTTTTTCCTACTTTCTTCAGTTTAAGCTTGAATTTTGCTATAAGAAGCTGATGATCTGAGCCACAGTCAGCTCCAGGTCTTGTTTTTGCTGACTGTATAGAGCTTCTCCATCTTTGGCTGCAGAGAATATAATCAATCTGATTTCGATGCTGCCCATCTGGTGATGTCCATGTGTAGAGTCGTCTCTTGTGTTGTTGGAAAAGCGTGTTTGTGATGACCAGCTTGTTCTCTTGACAGAACTCTATTAGCCTTTGCCCTGCTTCATTTTGATCTCCAAGGCCAAACTTGCCAGTTGTTCCTTTTATCTCTTGACTCCCTACTTTAGCATTCCTTTTTTTAAAAAAAAAGATATTTATTGAAATTTTCCACTTTAATACATTAAAAAGTCAAAAAAGAAAACAAAAAAAAAATTAAAAACACATACATTTTACAATCCTTATTTTTCTATAACATATTTCCCTGACTTCCCCACACCTCCCCTTCTTATATTCCAATTCAGATTGTTAATTCAACAAGTTCTTATCCCCAATTTTTAACCTTTTTATATTTAGTTCATTTTAACAAACCAATTTTACCTTATAAACATCAGTGCTCATTCTTAAAACTTTTTTCTAAAGTCGACCCAAATTCCCTTCCACGAATTCTCCAATTTTCATACTAATAACGAAACAAAATAAGAAAAGAAAGACAGATTATAATTGTACACCCTTTGGATTCCCAAACCCCACCCCTTCCCCTCTCCCGGTTTCAATCCCCAACAAATGTCCATCAGTCTTAGTCTACTATCAGCCTGGAGATCTCACGTCCGAGGCTCTTAATTCTCTCTCAATTCCTCTCTGCCGGTTTTTTTGATAGTCCTTAGTATTAAACACCAAATCTCGGAGAAGCTCTAGCCCAATAGGGTCCATGTTTCTTCCAGCCAGACCTCCATACTTAAAAGTGGAGCCCAGATCTTGTTTCTTACTCCTTTCAAATCCAAATGTCCCCAAAGCTCCGACTTCCACCTTAATCAATTTTGTAATCCTTGGGTCTTCAGATCTCCACATAAGGAGATCTCTCCATTCTTCAATCTCCAATTCAAACCAGATTTTCATTATCAAGTTCTTATTTTCCTTTGTAGCCATCATGTCAGGCCTCTGGCTCTCCTTTGTCATTTGCAACATTACGTCTCCTCCTTCCTTTTCCTCAGAAACAACATATATCTCTTTCTCCACACTCTCAAAACTCTCCAGTTTCTCCTCTTGTCCAGCTGCATGAACTTCCTGAATCAAGTCCTTATCAAATTCAATGAGTTTGTTTACTGTTAAGTCCAGAGTTGCAACATTGGTAGCCAAAACATCAATTTGGCCTTGTAACTTTCCCAAGAGAAGAAAAACTCTGTCCACTTTAGCTTGAATTTCCCTTCCTTCAGCCATTCTTGTAATGTCCCAAAACCCCCTCTGGAGGGATTTTGGGAGCTCGGAGGGAATCCGCCATTAGCCGATGGCGCTAACCCAGACGTCCCCCTACTTTAGCATTCCAATCCCCTATAATGAGAAGAACATCCTTCTTTGGTGTCACTTCTATAAGGTGTTGTAAGTCTTCATAGAATTGGTCAATTTCAGTTTCTTCAGCACCAGTAGTTGGTGCATAAACTTGGATTACTGTGATGTTAAAAGGTCTGCCTTGGATTCGTATCGAGTTCATTCTATCATTTTTGAGATTGCATCCCAGTACAGCTTTCGCCACTCTTTTGTTGACATGAGGGCCACTCCATTTCTTTTACGGGTTTCTTGCCCACAGTAGTAGATGTGATGGTCATCCGAACTAAATTCGCCCATCCCCGTCCATTTTAGTTCACTGATGCCCAGGATGTCAATATTTATTCTTGCCAACTCATTTTTGACCACCTCCAACTTACCCAGGTTCATGGTTCTTACATTCCAGGTTCCTATGCAATATTTTTCTTTACAGCATTGGACTTTCCTTTCGCTGTTATGCTGTTAAGTGAAGCTAAATCCCCACTGACCCATGACAGAGGAAATGTGGCACATTCATTTTATGTTACACGGATAAGATTATTTTAGTACGGTAACCCCATCCTGAGAATGGAGGCTAGCACGTGAGCAATTTCTGCGAAGGTTGGTGATACATTTCATCCTCAAAATTACTGCGACGTTTTCTCCATAAGACATTTTCTCTGTATCACTGAAAGCGCTGCAGACACACACACACATTTTTTCTGCACAATTTGAATTACTTGGAGGCCACTCTGAGAATCTGTATACAGTGGTACCTCGGGTTAAGTACTCAATTCGTTCCAGAGGTCCATTCTTAACCTGAAACTGTTCTTAACCTGAAGACCACTTTAGCTAATGGGGCCTCCCGCTGCCGCCGCGCCCCCAGAGCACGATTTCTGTTCTCAACCTGAAGCAAAGTTCTTAACCTGAGGTACTATTTCTGGGTTAGCGGAGTCTGTAACCTGACGCGTATGTAACCTGAAGCGTCTGTAACCCGAGGTACCACTGTAAATACTTGGTCATTAAAAATAACATAAAACAAATGCCAACACACAATGAAAACTCTGCACAAAAGCATGGTTTTATAAGCTTTGTCACCAGCCTTGGGGAGAGGGGTGGGAATGTACAGTTTGCTGTACTTAGCCTTGAGATGGGAGACTGAAAGGGCTTTAAAAAATAAAAAATAAAAGTCTTGTGTCTAAGAATATTTTTCTGCAAAAGCATCAGACTGGTTGTCAAAAGTGTGAACTTCATTAATAGACCCTATTTAAAGGAATTGGTCAGTTAGCCACAGAATTGCTTTGCTGATTTTTCTCGTCTTCTTTTAATTACTGGCACACAACTGCTTTGGGGGTTGGAAGTGTGGTCAAGCACATAGCGTTCTGGATCTATTAATCAAGCTCCTTTGAGTGTATGTCAGCAAAAGAAATAAATGCAGTAATATTAGCAAAGCTTTCAAACCCTAGAGCTGAGAAGGCAGGTCTGAAAAAATCACTGAGGGCCACGTGTGTAGAAGCAAGCCACGTGGGCTAACTATGAACTAAGCATATTGCATTGATCAGATGCATCACTCAAAATAACTTCCCATCCTCCTCCGTTGTTTGCTCGGGAGGAGGATCCTACCTTCCTGCCGGGGAGGCTGGGGGCAAAGAGGAGGCCAACCGGCCCAGTGCCCAGGGCGCTGCTGAGCTGCTCCCCCGGCTCCACACGCGGGCAAAACGGGGCAGCAGCGCCGCCACTGTCCCACGTGCTCCGCTTTCGGAGGGGGGCGGCGGCCCAAAGCGGGACAGGCAGCGGCCTTGGCAGGCTTCCCCAACAGCCCAGAAAGTCGGCCTAGGTGAAGAAATTGAGTTTAAGCCAAGTGGGTCCGGCCTTGCCTTGCCCTAGCCCTGTCCCCTGCCCACAAGCGATTGGCCAGCTGGGTTGGGGGCGGGGTAAAGGCAAGGCCGAATCTACTCGGTCTCGTCTCATTTTCTTCGCCTAGGCCGGGAAGCCCAGCGCCGGGTCCCAAGCCACGTTGGAGGGTGACCCGGCGGTAATGGTTCTTGATCATTTTCCCCGGGCCGGCCCGCCCCCCGCCCCCGTTTGAGGGCAGTTCTGATTGAAACTTCAGGGGCCATAAAAAGAGGGAGAGCCCCAGGGGCCTTGAAGGTCTCTAATCACTTCTACCACTTCAGGCAGGTGAACCAGGCCTCCCTTACCAGATAGGAAACTTGCATAATCACAGTTCGGGTGGCCATGTATATCCTCCCCTCTACTTAAAGTGTTGCCTGGTCTAAGTTCAGTTTAGAGATAAACAACCCTAAGAAGCAAGAACTGAAGAGGTCTTGAAGTTGCCCATCAGGACCTGGCGTCTGCTGAGCACGAGTCACTTGATGTATTCCACACTGTGGCAATATGTTTTTCTATTTAAATAATAGTAATTTAAATTAAGTAATTTAAATTAAGTGTACATTAATTAAATTAAATTTGTCTTCTTGTAATTATACGAGTAATTTCATAACAATTATATCTAAATTTGCATATATACAAATAAACTGCCATATGCAAATTTTATGCAGACTGCATAACATTTTTTTAAAAAATCCTTTAGGGATGCATGGTGGGGTGCTTTTATTTTTGGAACAGGGCACTGAAGCAGAAGCTCCCTCTCAGAACCTGGCCTATTATTTCATACATGTATGTATGAAATAATAGGCTATAAAGTCTCATTACATAATTACCATTTGTTTCACAGTTCATGCTCTAACCTGCATCCTGCCCTTCTGGAAGTCTGCTTAGGTTCTCCCCCCCCCTCCCAAATTGCACCAGGCAACTTCAAACCTGCTCAGGTTAGCAAGTGGGGATTGCATCAGTCTGGTGAATCATGCACCTGTTGGTTAATGTGCTCAGGACGTCCAAGCTGTCTTGGGAGTATAGGCTTTAGAGTAGGAAGTGTGGAAGCTGGGGCCCAGAGGCCAAATCCAGCTCTCTTTATCCTGCTTTCAAGACTTTCCTCAGGCCAAGCACACACACACACACACACACACACACAGCCTTAGCATAGCTCATCATTAATGCCTGTTTGTGCATGCTTTCTCCCTAATAGGTGCACTTTTGCATAAGTTTACTGGCTGGAGTATTGCATTGCAAAATTTGGGGACATATCCATGGCCTGTCTTTTTAGAAATAAGCCACTCATCTTGAGACATACAGTACATGGCACAAGCAGGAAAAAAAGGGTCACTCACAATCACAGGAAATGTTGCATTTGTTCTGTGAGGGCCGCCTCTCATTAAAGCACCATTCCTGGCCGCTCAGATGGAATAGCCCATAGTGTGGGACACCCTCTTCTGTCTCGTAGTATTCAGTGTTGTAATTAGCTGGGAATCCAGCCATACAGACATCTGGTAGGGAAGCAAAGTATAAAAACCAGGGACTCAGAGTGTCCTTTCTTTCCTAAAATCAGTTCCCAAACACAGAAACAGAAAAGCATTTTTAAAACTTCTCAAAAATCCTACTGTTTAAACACTTTCAAAACATTGACATAACCTTTCTTGGTTTTGACATTCTGAGTTTTGAAATGCTGTTGTTTCTATTTCAGTATTCTTAAAATAGCAATGTTTCTAACAGCTTTTAACATTTTCCTAAAACATTATGAATTATCCAGTGCTACCTTTAATCTTGGGGACGCGGGTGGCGCTGTGGGTTAAACCACAGAGCCTATGACTTGCCGATCATAAGGGCGGCGGTTCGAATCCCTGAGATGGGGTGAGCTCCTGCCAACCTAGTAGTTCAAAAGCACGTCAAAGTGCAAGTAGATAAATAGGTATCGCTCTAGCAGGAAGGTAAAAGGTGTTTCCGTGCGCTGCTCTGGTTTGCCAGAAGCGGCTTAGTCATGCTGGCCACATGACCTGGAAGCTGTACGCTGGCTGCCTTGGCCAATAAAGCAAGATGAGCGCTGCAACCCCAGAGTCGGTCACGACTGGACCTAACGGTCAGGGGTCCCTTTACCTTTACCTTTAATCTTGCAACTGATGAAGTTCATAAAAATTTATTATATCATAAATGTGTCAGCCTTTAAGGTGCCACAAGGCTCTTTATTTTCAATCTTGCCTGCTCTGTCAGTTCTCATTTTTCAGATACGCCACATTATTTTAAAATGGTCAAAGATAATAATAATACTGTAAACAAAAAACCCAAACAAATCCATATAAATTGCTACACATGTCATCTAGAAATGAGAAACCAAAGGGAGGTTGGGATCCACAACAAATTGGGTGTACATTTATCCTAACAGAGCAACTGGACATTGTACGTCCAACAAACAAGACTCACATTGTTTTACGTCAATACCGCGAAAGCCATCCAGCCCCAGATCTCTCAGCTTGTAAAACAATTCACAATCCTCAAACTTCCTTGTCTCATTTGCTACCATGAGCAGGCAGAATGACAGAAGGTGAAGTGTCTTCATTGCCGCATGTCTCTCAAGTCCAGAGCCTCAGCTTTTTATGGCCCCTGCCTTTGGACTGTAGGCTGCCCAATCCATGTTAAATTGCATCATGAGTTGGTTCCTGTTAGTCCTACTTCAAGTAGCTCTTTTGAAATCATTACTTTCAGTGGCCCCCTCACAGAAGTTTGTGATTCTTTTCTTTTTTTCTTTTTAATATGAGCAAATTAAAAAAAATTCTCAAAGTATGTCCAAATGAGCCAACCCTTCTCTGGCATCTGATACCTTGTGGTCACATCCCTGGAACTAGAGACAAAGCATGTTTCTCATTTACAGTCAAAATAAATTAAAACAATTATTTAAAAAGATAGTTAAAAAGACTCTTCTTTAAAACCTAAAAATTCCCTTAAAAGAATCAAGTCTTCAAAAAAGTTATATGATCTAAGAAAGTTTAAAAGAATCCTTCCAAAAGAATTTAAAAATTATAATGTAGCACCTTAGAGACCAACTGAGTAGTTTTCAGGTATACCCAGAACAAACTTAGTTGGTCTCTAAGGTGCTACTGGACATTTTTAAAAATTTTTAATTTATTTCTCTCAGTAGTTAGAGAAATAAAAGAAGCAAATCCTCTTTGCCAAAACAGCCCCTATTGGAATCAATGATTCATTCATTCACTTATTCAAGTTATATCCCACTTTGCCAACTCTATAGGGAGAGATTGACTATGTCATTAAGTTATTATTAATTGAGATTAGGAATACACTAGGGATTAGGGGAGAAATTCAGTTCAGTTCACATTTAAAGGCAAACCTACCAAATCTGCAGTTGCTGAAACAATACAGAAACTGAAACATCCATCCTTCAAAATTCGTCCTTCTCTGAATTGCAGCTTCCCAGCCAAAGAATGGGCACCCAAATTCATATACCAAGGTAAGGTGTGTCTAGAAATGCATAAATTAGTTGGGTTTTTTTAAGCATCATGTTAGGGCCAGTGTGGTGTAGTGGTTAAGAGCGGTAGTCTCGTAATCTGGGGAACCGGGTTCGCGTCTCCGCTCCTCCACATGCAGCTGCTGGGTGACCTTGGGCCAGTCACACTTCTTTGAAGTCTCTCAGCCCCACTCACCTCACAGAGTGTTTGTTGTGGGGGAGGAAGGGAAAGGAGAATGTTAGCTGCTTGGAGACTCCTTCGGGTAGTGATAAAGCGGGATATCAAATCCAAACTCTAGGGGAAATTGGTTTGCAAAAATGTGTATATTATCATGAGGGCTGTTTTTAATGGCAAACTAATATGGAAATGTGGAGAACTGAACCCAAGCTTGGAAAAATGACAAAAAGAGAGAACCCAAAACTGACAGATCCACCCATCCTTAGAACACACACACACACACACACACACACACACACACGGGGGGAGAGAGAGAGAGAGCAAGAGAGATCTCAAGAACAGGTAGTTTCCAGCAACCTTAGCAGCCTTTGAAATTATCAGGAGCAAAATTGGTTTTGTTTTGTTTTAAAAAGAAACAGAACATAGGTTAGGAGTCTATGGTAAGCTCTCAAGTTTTGTAATTTGGAAGACTGTAGTTTTTTGAGAGGTTTCTTCAGTAGACTTTCCGAAGGGGTTTCGTCATTGTGCTATTTCAGGTAATAATTTTGGGCTCGCTCTCGCTCTCCCCACTCCATGTAGGCTGACTTCATCTATTTAAAAATAACAAGCTGGTGCTGTCATATTCTCTTATCAGCATACTTTCACCATTTATCTGAGTATTCCGTGGGATGACCCACAAGTTGTTCTCATTAGAGGAGGCCTTTCATCTTTTTTCAGAATCTTCAAATCAAGATCAGTTAAGCTGAAGTATTTAATCTAGAGCCGTCTGCATTATTTGGGAGGAGATGCCACTTTATGTTCTGTCTGACTAGTGTTAAGAGCAGCATAATTTGTGCAGAGACTCAAAGAGATAGACAGGATGTGCTGCCAATCAGATGGAATACTGTTGTGGTTCCTGGGTTTGAAATGATCACTTAAAAGTCACATCGTGGACTTGTGGCATGACTGCCACAAGGAGCTTTGGCGAGAAAAACTCTAATGTTTAAAGTAAAAAAAACCCAATTATGTTAATATGAACCACTATGACTGAGATATGTTAACGCTGAAAAATGGTCTACCGACTCAAGATAGTAAATTAGCTAATATACAGGATGTGATGGCTTGTGAATGCTCATTGCAAGAAATGCTTCTGCTCACTCAGAGATACATATATACAGTCTTTATTTTACATATGTACAAGCAGCCCATTACAATCATGCATCCGAATCCTCCGGCTCAGATTCTGGGAGTGGCTTATGCCAGCTCCTTCTCCAACAGAAAAGGCGGGAAAGTTTCACGTGACGCCTCTGCCCCCTCCTCTTTAACACTCTCCTTTCCTTGGCAGACGGAATAAGCATTGTTTCACTGTCTGTGCCAGAACTTCCTGTGCGGTGTTGAGGCTCTGGTTCAACATCTGTAAGCTGTCCCACCTCCTGGCTTTCCCCTCTTTCCTCAGTCGCCACTTCCTGCCCCCCTCCCTCTGCCTGCCTCTGCTCCTCCCCTACATTCTCTGGCAATACCATGACACAGGACTATTATTGTATGCAAGTAACAGACCAGGCATATTATCTGCCTGTTATTTGCCTTATCCATGCTCCCTTCCCAGACCCAGTGGCATAGGAAGGTCAGGTGGTACCCGGTGCGGAAAATTTCTTGTCTCCCCCCCCCCCACATTGTTTTAAAAAAATAAATAAATATTTTTTTGCCTGCAAAAATGGTTTGACTTTATTTCATATTTTTTTACAAAGCAATGTGGATTCTGGGCCTCTGATAACAAGTAGGTGACAGTGGACAGATACTTAAATCTACAGGATGGATTGTGTTTTGGCTTGTGTTATTTTATTTATATTTATTTAATAAAATTTATTTTTAAAAACCTGCAAATTGGTTTACCAAAACAAAAAACACCAAAGCAGTAAAATCAAGAAAAATTAACAATCCTACTGAAACACAAAACAAAACAAAAACAACGAAAAACATCCCAATGAAAAGGGAATGCAAGAAAGCAAAGTGACTGTCTAACGAGGCCTTACAAATAGAGAGAGATAACAGGCAGATAACGAGAGATAACAGGAAAATAACAGGCAGATAACGAGGCCTTACAAATAGAGAGAGAAGGCAAGCAAAATGCGAGGGAGATAGTGAAAGATACAGGAAATTGAATGCAGATTTCCAAAGAATAGCAAGGAGAGACAAGAGGGTTGTCTTAAACGAGCTATGCAAAGAAATGGAGGAAAACAATAGAATGGGGAAAACCAGAGATCTGTTCAAGAAAATTGGAGATGTGAAAGGAACTTTTCGTACAAAGATTTCCATAATAAAGGACAAAAGTGGTAGGACCTAACGGAAGCAGAAGACATCAAGAAGAGGTGGCAAGAATACACAGAGGAACTATACCAGAAAGATATGGATGTCTCGTACACCCCAGGTAGTGTGGTTGCTGACCTTGAGCCAGACATCCTGGAGAGTGAAGTCAAATGGGCTTTAGAAAGTATTGCAAATAACAAGGCAAGTGGAAGTGATGGTATTCCAGCTGAACTACAGTGGTACCTTGGGTTAAGTATCTATTTTGTTCTGGAGGTCCGTTCTTAACCTGAAACTGTTCTTAACCTGAAGCACCACTTTAGCAAATGGGGCCTCCCACTGCCGCTGTGCCGCTGGAGCACGATTTCTGTTCTCATCCTGAAGCAAAGTTCTTAACCCGAGGTAATATTTCTGGGTTACCGGAGCCTGTAACCTGAAGCATATGTAACCCGAGGTACCACTGTATTTAATTTTTTTAAAAAATGGTAATTTTTATTAATTTTAACATATAAATTATAATACATACCACAAAACTTCACCACTTATACAATCTTTTTTGGACTTCCATCAGCACCTCTGATGATCCACCGTTTTAACCACTTCTTATGCATTTCTTAAATTCATATTGCCTTTAATTATCTTAACTAACCATCCTCCCCTTTATCCATTTTTGCAATAGCTTCAATAATTCTCACAAAACTTCTTGCAAACCTACAAACGTAGTCTGATCATCACAAATACTTTTCAAATAGTCTGTAAATTTACACCAGTCTTCTGTGAATTTCTGGTCCCACAGATTTCGAATCCTTCCTGTTAGTTTATCTAGCTCTGCATAGTCCATTAATTTCATCCTCCATTCTTCTTTCATCGGTAATTCTTCTTGCTTCCATTTTTGTGCCAATGATATTCTTGCTGCTGTTGTTGCATATAAAAACAACTTACATTCTTTTCTATTTATATCACTTCCTACAATGCCAGGTAAAAATGCTTCTGGTTTCTTTATGAATGTATATTTCAACATTTTTTTCATCTCATTATATATCATCTCCCATAAGTTTTTCACCTTTTTACATTCCCACCACATGTGATAAAATGTTCCTTCTTTTTCTTTACATTTCCAACATTTGTTGCTAACTATACATTTTGGCTAATTTAACGGGTGTAATATACCATTTATACATAATTTTCATTACATTTTCTTTTAATTTTTTTTAAAAATATATTTATTGAAATTTTAGATAATAAAACAAGTTTCACAATCAACCAAAAAAAGAAAAACATTATCACAATCAAACAAAAACAGAAGAATACAATAAAAAAACATAAAAAAGGTAAAAAAAGAAAAACATTAGAAAACATAAAAATCCAGTTTCTTACTTATTATTTTTATAACCCTCTTTCCTGACTTCCTCACATCTCCCTTTTCTGTATTCCCTTATACACACTCATATTCAGCAGTACCTTACCTTCTTTCAAAACTTATTTTATATTATACATTTCAACCTATTATGTCTCCAATTTTTCCTTTCCTTTTAAGTCCATTTTTACCTGTTCTTTACAACATAATCCCTTTGTATCATTTTGTTTAAATTTGACATAATATTATTCTAAATTCTTTTCACCCTTGTTCTTTTAAAACATTTTCTGTGCCTATTCCTTTCAACTATGTCACTGATGCCTTATTATCTTTGTAATCTGCATCATTTTAGCATTCAGACATTTTGCAATGTTTTTGCAGGTAGTCTTTGAACTTCTTCCAATCCTCTTCTACTAACTCTTCTCCTAGGTCTCGGATTCTGCCAGTCATTTCTGCCAATTCCATGTAGTCTATCACTTGCATCTGCCATTCTTCCAGAGTGGGCAAATATTGTGTCTTCCAGTACTTTGCGATAAGTATTCTTGCTGCTGTTGTTGCATACATAGAGAAAGTTCTGTCCTTCTTTGACACCAATTAGCTGACAATGCCCAGAAGGAAGGCCTCTGGTTTCTTAAGGAAGGTATATTTAAATACCTTTTTCAGTTCATTA